GTATGGATAAGAGGCTGGTTTGGTGAAAGATTTGTGCGTTTAGGCCAGGGTTTGACTTCGTGTGGACGGGGCCCAAGATTGTAAAAAAAATAACACATTTTGCATTTAAGGTAAAATACAACTCCCCTTCTCACCTGGTTTAATTTCATTAAAAAAATATTTAAGGAACCTTTTGCTATCTGATTTTTAATAGATTAATCAGAGAAATAATTGACAGATTAATCGATTTGCAAAATAATCGTTAGTTGTTAGTAGGCTTTTATGCTTTAAATGAGGGAATAATCAGTGAAAGAACAGCTGCAGCTCACTTACCAGATGCCACCACCGTGCTCGCCCACAGAGTGTTCTCAATGCTCAGACTCTCGTGGATCTGAGGGTCTGTGTCTTCCTGCAAACAACAGAAGAGACGCAGAGACTTCAAACACTTTCAGTAAAGTCAAAACTAATACCAAGTTTACATGCTTGTTCTATTAGGTCCAGCGCAGAGGGATCTAGCAACATGTCTGAGCATTGGACGCTGGAGTTCAGTAAATTAAACTTTTGCCGCTGCACGCCGGAGAAGCTGATCCAGGAGTTTTTCGGGGGGAGAAAGACACTATCTGCAAGCTGCCATTGCTGCCATTCTGCTTATGAAAAATAAATAAATATCCATGAGTTAAACTCCAAAGGGTAAAAAAAAGAATGGATTGTTATGTAGAAGGAAACAGAGAGCAGCTCTGATCATTATTGCTGCACTAAATAAGTTTTTATGAATAATGGAGAAACAGTTTAAAAATACTAGGGGTGTAAATCACTTCCATCATGGCGATTCGATTCACTATCGATTTCCTGACCCAACGATTCGATTATTTTCGATACTCAAGAATACACCACGATACGATTCGTTTCATTTTTTTTTTTTACCTTACAGGCTTAGACAATGTTTCAAATTTGAAATAAATCAATGAAAGCTGTAATATCGTTATGCATTTTTTTTTTTTTGAGAAACTACAGAAAATAACAGAAGTAGAAAAGTTACACTCCACTTATTCCTATTAATCACTGAAAAATAATAATCCCCCTGCGTTATAGATGATGAGTGCAATGCAATACCTCGGCTCCAGATGTCCCGCCCCCTCCACAGACACTCCGCTGCTCCTCTCCCAGATTGTAGCCGACTGCTAACAGTGCCGCAGACAGGAGGCCGGCTTGTTTTGTTT